CGTGGAGTCCTGGCACATTGCTGGGGGATAAACAGGGGGCAGCTAACCACAAGGTTGGTGGTTCAAACCCACCAGATGCACCTCAGAAACCCTATACAGGGTCTCTAGGAATGGAACCCAACTTGACGGCACTTAACAATTGATAAAGCAGAGGTTCACTGAAAAATGAGGGAAACTGTTCCTGAAATGGAATGATGAAGCAGCCACAACAATGATTTCAAATATACTAATGGAGTCCTGGCGTGACGCTGTGTGGTAATGCGCTGGACAGCAAAGTCGGTTTGAATTGCAAGGTCAGCAGTTGAAGCTCATTAGCTGCCCCTCAGAAACCATACACAGGGTCTCTATGGGCCAGAACCCAAGCGATGATACCTAACAATGGAGTCCAGGTGTGGCGCTGCAGGATGAAGCACTAGACAGTAGGGTTGATTTGAACCACAGTTCAGCGATGCAAACTCACCAGTCCCTCTGAAACCTTATACAGGGTCATGATGGGTCAGAAGTGACTTGATGGCACTTAACAACAAGGACCATGAAGATGGAGTTCGATGTGTTATATGTAAGATTCCTGTGAATTAGAGTTGACTTGATGGCAATGAAGAACAGCATACTATGTGTGTGCTAATAAATGAAGTAAACTTCAGTCCTAGGAGGACAGACACACTCAGCATGCAAATAACATCAAGAATAGTAAGTGCTCAAAGGTCATAGAGGGTGGCTGTAAAAGCAGCCAGATGGCAGTAGGTCCAATCTGTGGAGACACAGGGGTTTTCGTGGAAGAAATGACAGCTAAGCTAACACTTAAAAGAAGCCTGAGAAATGGTCAGATGGAAAGCTAGGGAAACAGGAGGAGGAAATGATGTTTCCACAAAGACTTACAGCCTTGGAAACAACAGTTACAAACACATGTGTGTTTGAGAATGGAATGAAGGTGTATGTCTGAAGGATGCAGATGGAGTGGGGAAAGTAAACAGCATTTTAAGCTAGGGGAGACAGGAGTATTATTCAGATAGTTCTGGGGAACGAGGGCAATGCTGATGATCTATGCAGGCATTTCAAATCCATTCATTTAATGGGGGTTTTCCATAGGAACATTATAAAGAAGTCTTGTGAAAAATAAGATAAACTTAGATATCTTAAGAGATTTGTTCTGAGTACCTAATACTGCTATAATAGAAAAGAATACAAATGGGTGGCTTTAGTGATCAAAGATTCATTTTCTTATAATTTTGTTGCTGTTAACTGCTATTGAGTTGGTTCTAACTCATAACAACACTGCATACAGTTTTTGAGGAGTGGCTGGTGGGTTTAAACTGCCAACCTTGTAGTTTAAGAGGTTAAAAGTCTGAATTCAGGACCCCAGCCTTTGAGGAAGGCTTTTTTTCTGTCTGCCCCAGAAGAAGGTGCTCAATTCTTTCCAGCTGCTCAGATTTTCAGGGCAGGCTTCTGACTCATTCTGCATCTAGTTTTCCTTCCTCTCATTAATTCTTTTGGGGGCGGTGATTCTCAATGGTAAATATAATTAACTTTCAACGAAGATGACCTTTTTCATACTGTGGGGAATAATAAGTTTTGAATAAAGAAAAAAAATAAATAACTGTAGCAGAAATAGCACTGTGCAAACATTTTAAAGGGGTGAATTGTATAGTATATGAATTATATCTCAATAAAGCTGTATAAAATATTTTTAATAAGAAAAAATAAAAATAGCACTGGGTGAGGAGTGGGTTATGCGGCATTTAGAAACGGTGTGATTTTTGAGGAAGTTTAATTGTGTTGCTTCTTAGCTATAAAATAGTGATGCTATTCCATACATCGTTTGTGTCACGGAATTTGGATAAAACTGCCTCTTCAATGATAAAGTCTATTATAAACCACATAAAGCTCGACAACATTATGATAACACTAAAAAGGACATGAGAACAAAGGGGCTTTGACGTCTTCATTTCTAATACCACACGAGCCTCTTAAAACACAAAGGCAAAAATGTCTACCCCCACTTGCAAACACCTGTCCCTGAAGCCATCCATTCTTAAAATACCGAAGTCATTAAAAAAACACATCAGCAACAGGAAGTTCTGGGATATACAAATGACATGAGCTTTTTTCCCTGTGGCATAATCTGGAAGATCCAGTCTCTAGTAGTAGGTCTTCTGAACCCATGAGCACAACAGGTTGGTCCAGAGTGTGCTTTACCAGCCACAAGGGTCAAAGTACCAAAACAAACACAAATGCGGCCAGAACAATCCAGACCTATAACAGAAATCCCATGGCATCTGTGGTCTACTCACATTCTAAGGCATATGTACTATCTCAGACTCGGAAACAGACCTCTGATGAATTTCCTTCACATTTTATGAAGGAAATGAAAAATAAAATGTTACCTGTTTTCTCTTTCAGAAGGGAGAACATTTTCCCTTTCCAAATGCCTGATTCTCTCATTTTCTAGAACAGAAACATCAACAATCAAGGGTTCAATAAAAGTAAAGACAAAGCACAATTTTCCACAGGTCATTTTTGCCCCAAATCCTACAGACTGGTAAGCTTAAAATCAAGCCATTTAGTTCATAGTCAGGTCCAATAAATCAGTGGAAAAAATAAATGGGAAAGCATCCCGAAATGTAACCATGGTAACACTGCAGATGCGTCAAGAAATTGTGTGCCCATTTGCTTCATTCCCCATTTCTTAAATTGGAATCTTAGTAGGGGAAAAATTACATGGAGAACAATCATGATTCTGCAATTACTGAACTCTGAAAAATTGTATTCAACCTGCTGTACTGACACTTCAGAGACAGCTATGGGGCAGCTATGGGAAAAGCCCTGGGTGGTTTGAGAGTCAGAAACACCTGGGTCTGTCACTTATCAATTACTTGGTCTTCCCAAGACTCCATTCCTCATCTATACAATGGATGCTGACAACCCCAAATTCCAAGGGTTATTATAAAATCAAAGTATGGCAGAGGCCTGGCAATGATAGACTCAGGAGCCCAGAAGCTCTGCTCATCTCTAACCTCTTTTTTGGTGTGTATGTCTTTCCACTTAGTGCCTTGGTTTCTTGCTCTGTAAAATAATAATCTCTGCCCCTGAAAATGGACTAGAATTAGGAATTATCATTATACCGTAAGGTCAGTGGTTCAAACCCACCAGTCACTCTTCAGAAACCCTGTACAGGGTTGCTATGTGTCAGAAATGACTTGACGACACCTAACAACAAGAACATAAAGAATTATTATTAGGGGTACAGCATTCAACTCCAATGTTGAAACACTAAAGAGCTGAGAGCCATCCATTCACATTAGCACATTATCACCTCACTTTTCTCACCTGTACAAAGGGAAAGGTGATCTAACAGTAGTATCATGAGAGCACTGTGGGGAGTACATGAGATGACACAGGTGACATGAGTCATATGCAGTGCTGTCCATCAGCAGAGAGCCCTGCTCCAACTTACTTGTAATAGACCTCTTCTCCTCTCTAAGCCTCTTTTTTCCTTAACAGTAAAATTGGTGGCTTGGGTGCTTCTAGAATAAGGGCCTCAGTGATGACTTACAGTCCACGTCCTTGCCTTAGATTAAAATTGCAGTAGTATCAAGCTACATTAGCATTCTAACACACCATTTGTAAAGCAGTTTTTTATTAAGAAAACCATTTATAGCAAACCAACCACAGCAATTAGCGAACTACCTTGCACTTTAAATTGCTCTTTCTTTCTTTTGCTGGTTAAAAAAAAGTGTATTTCCAAAAAGAAGTTTCAAACTTTGAAGAACTGAGCTATAGAGAGGAAAAAAATAAAAACTTCTAAGGAATAAAATCATAGTTATTCTGTCTTCTCCTTTTGAAAGAAATGAAATAGCCGAATACCTTCCCAGGATTCACAAATTATGAGTAGCTGGATAGGAATGTAATATATAGAACCTGGAAATATTTCAATGCAATTTAGATGTGAATTTATACACGTGCAGGCTTCAATGGACCCAGCTCTGAGGGGAAGAACAAAGGTTAAAGGTACTAACTGGAGGATGAGGAACATAAGAGGAACAGGATTCATGCTGTCTGTCCATCCATCCGTCCATCCATCCATCCGTCCATACATCCTTCCTCCCTTTCATACAAAACTCTGTTTTGAGATTCCTTATGTTCTGTGTCTTTGTTTTCTCAGATTTGCTTCAATGTAATGGTTTAGAGACATTGGGTTTTTTAACATGTAGAAACTATTTCTGCAAATAAAAATCCTGATTTATGAATCTAATAAAAGTTGGCTGAGTGCAGGAGGGTCATGAAGGTAAAAGAAAGAGTCCACACAGCACTTCCCTTTGGTAGGGAACCATTGGGGACCCATTGATCTCCACAGAGAAGCCTGAAATGCACTGGCCTCACTGTGGTTGTCAGCTGCTGTAAAGTCGATTCCTACTTCCAAGCAAACCTGTGTGGTCAGATCAGAACTGCTACACAGACTTTTCAAAGCTGGCACCTTTCAAAGGCAGATTGCCAGACCTGCTTTCTGCATGGGTTCAGAAATGCCAACCTTTTGGCTAATAGTTGATCATTTAACTATTTATGTTACTGAGGAAGTCCCTCTGGCATGGACCATTCCATTAGTAACAATGATCATCAACATGTATGGAAGATTACCTCATGTCAGTACTCTGAAAATGTCTCATTTATCTCAACCCATTTATGCTTCATTACAGTTCTATGATATATAGCCTTTTTCCTTAAGTGAAAACTAGGTTTTTCAAAAGATAAATCGTTAACACAGCATTGCAAACTAGTAAGTGGCAGAGCCGGATCGAAAGCTTACGCAGTCTCAAAAATCCAGGTGATTCAGCAATAAGGTACTGTGTGTGTCCCAGTGTCAACTGTGGTCCACTGAGTTTAACAAATCATCAAGTAGACAAGCCCACCAAGTACTCCCAACCAGCTGTGGAGCCTCTCTTTCTCCTCCTGGCTTCTCGCACACCCAGGCAGCACTGAGACGTCAAAGACGCGCTACTTACAAGGCACGGCGTGGCGATAAAGGTTATCCCTTATGATCTGCTGGAGCTCATGATCAGGGGACCCTTTCTGAAAACGCTGATTGAGAAAATGTCGCAGGTCCTTATTCAGCCTGCCTCCTGCAAAAAACATAAAACAGACAGAGCATGTCAACAATTGGGCTTCCTAGACATGGAGCTGTCTCGGAGAAGCGTGCAAGAAAGCCACCTGAAGCAAATGAAGTTAACCATCCTCTGTCATTCCGAGCACTGACTTACTTTGAATTTTCCTGTGCAGGAGAATAGGCAAGCAATAAAGTAATGAAGATAAAATGACCTTGAAATGGCATTAATGTGGGGGTCCCATATCATATAATACCAAGAGTCTAAAATAACAAAGAATTTAAACTAGGCTACTACATTTAAAATATATGCCATAGACACTAGCAGCTGCTATCAGAGACAGAGAGTAAATGGTTAGAACTTTAAAGAGGACAGTCTTAACAATATCTATCAAATTATAAAATGTTCTTAGACTAGAGATTCAAATGGTAGGAATATACCCTATGGATATACTTGCAAAAGTCTGCCAAAATTGCCAGTGTTGGAAATTGCAGCATTTTTATAATAACAAGTAAACGAAAACAAAACAGAGAAGTCTCTGTTCCCTCAAACGAAATTTCCCCAGTAGTAGCGTCCTATCATTCGCAAAACCCAGAAATTGACATGGGTACAAACCACAGATCCTATTCCTTATGCTCCTTTCTAGCCAATATGTGCTCACTCTCAGTCCCAGATGACCACTAATTTGTACTATTTAGACAAACTGCTATGAGTCTACAATAATTTTAAAATGAACAAGGTTTTAAAAGAGGAGGGAGGCACAAGGAAACTGTTTAAGGAGGATGACAGTACAAAGATCTTGATTTGTTCCAAATGTCAGAGACTGTATTTGTGAAATGGTGTATGTGTATGTTCTTGTATATAAAGGGTACTGCAATCATGTTGATTTCAATAGTTTATATATGACTGAATGATTGCTATGTTTCTGTGCCAGCTCTGATCTAGTTACTTAGTTCTCAATTCCCAACCAGACTGTTAAATTATAAGAAAAATAGACTAAATCTTGGTAAATAAGACAGGCGGAATTTCTGAACCTCACTTTTCTCATCTGTAAAAAGGGAACACTAATATTACACATGTGACATACTTGGAACACTGTTTTCCAAAGAGAAAGCACTCATCGAGAGAGGGCAGCATCATTAATACTATGTGGAGTACACAAATAATTGAAGTGCATTGGGAAAGAACGGAGGTTGTTTCAAACAACGGGCTTTTAGTCTTTTAAGAATTCCTCACTGTAGAAGAGCGTAAACATCAAAAATTTATTCTATTGGCAAAGAAATACTCAAGAACAAATTACAAACAGGTAAAAATACACATCTAGTATCTACTTGTACTAAAAATTATATGGATATATATAGGTGAGAAACAAATATTTAGTGAGTGTCTAATATAATGACCCAAGCCATGGTATTTTCAATAACTTCATATGCATGTGAAAGCTGGACAATATGACTGGCATATTTATTGTCACACGAAATCATACAAGCGAGGGTTGTTGAAACAGCAAATGTTTTGTTACATATATATTTACCAATACAAAAAATTAATGGAAGGATGGTGACTCTTCTTACTTGACTCATGAGTAACAAAGTTGTCTGTGGACCACAGACAACTAGATGCCACTACCTGAATCAAAAGCAAACAAATCCACAGAAGATTCTGGACATAGTATGTCTTCTGTTGATCACATAAGGTAACTATCAAGATCAATTCTGAGTGTGCAGATGAGAAGGCATTCTAAAGACAAAGACACTCTTAGTTTACACGTGAGCTTTTTTTTATAAGACTAGCCAGGCTAGCTAGAGTTTATGATCATGAAACTAAAGCAACTTTCTATTGCAGATGTGGAAAAGGGCAGGGTTAACTGTACTGCCGGTTAACATTTACTCTGTGTTCTGTGACATTTGTACGTGAAAAGCTGCAACCTTCGCATTCCATTAAGAATACTGCATTTTTGGCATCTAATCTCAAATTAATTGCCAATTATTCAGGGGACACGTCTATAAATCTTCCACTAATTGTGAAGGGCAGTGAGCCAATAAAATAATGAATTGCAAGAAGGAGAGTCTGTCATATTATCTTCACTTTCTTTAAAATTCAAGATTTGTTTTGTAAATGGGAAAGAGCACAAAGATGAAGAATATATGAATATGTGGAATTCAGAGCTTAAGACAATTTTATAATTCAAATGGGGCTTAGACTTTCCTCCTGAATTTGTCTTTGTTTTATATTATCTATTTTTCTGGTGTGGCACTGTAGGATAAGCACTGGACTGCAAGGTCAGGTTTAATGGCAAGTTTGGCAGTTCAACTCCACCAGCCGCTCCTTGGAAACCCTACACAGGGTTGCTATGAGTCAAAACTGACTAGATAGCACTTAAAAAATAAAACATATTATCACTGGAAATACAGTGGTCAAACTCTGGATTGCTAACCAAAAAGTCAGCAGTTCAAACTTACCATCAGCCATTCTGTGGAAGAACAATGTGGCAGCCTGCTTCCCTGAAGTTTACAACCTTGGAAGCCCTATATTGCAGTATCATATAGTGTGGGCATGAGTTGGAATAAACTCAGCAATAATGGGTTTGGGCCTTTTAAAAAACCTATCTATATCTCGAATACTCCTGCTGTGTTGCTGTAGGATTACCACTAGACTACAAACTACAAGGTTGGCAGTTCAAACCCACCAACTGCTCCTCAGAAACCCTATACAGGGTCACATGAGTTGGAACCAACTCGACAGCACTTTACAATAACAATGTTGTTGTTGTTGTTAAGTGCCGTCGAGTCGGTTCCGACCCATAGCGACCCTGTACAGGGTTTCCGAGGGGGTAAATCTTTACAGGAGTAGAAAGCCTCATCTTTCTCCTGTGGAGCGGCTGGTAGTTTCGAACTGCTGACCTTAAGGTTCGCAGCCCAATTTGTAACCACTACGCTACCAGAGCTCCTTTAACAATAGCTAACTAAAATTCTATATCTTAAATTTACTAAAATGTATCCTCTGCTTTAGTCATTCACATTATTTTATCACAATTTAACTACACTGAATGATGTAAACTTTGTTTTAAACATTCTATAATATTCCATTTTAAAAAACATACTACAATTCATTTTGTCATTGTAATAATTTTTTTAAATGGAATATTTGGCTGTTCCCAATTTTTTTCAAGTACTAACAATGATGCTTAGGAGCTCTGGTAGCGTAGTGGTTACGAATAGGGCTGCGAACCTTAAGGTCAGCGGTTCGAAACTACCAGCCGCTCC